ATGAGTGGAAGTGCTGTTGTTAATCCAGTTTTTGTCTGGACCAACTTCAAAATAACTGACGCAGACATAAATTCACGAAGGGAGGTCGTGATGGTGGAGGGAGGCATTAGAACAGAGTCTACTTTCCTTTGTCTCTCCAAGAGACTCCTAGATAATTTACCCAATCCAGAGCCCATGCATCAGTTGACTTGCTACTAAATAGATTGTCAGGGGGCAGACAAGTGTACCAAGACTTCACGCATGCATAGCCTATACGACTACCTACTGCCCTAAACAAGAAACCCAAAATCATGATTATGCCTCTACCGGTAGCAAAAAAAGGCAACCATATCTGTAATTCTACGCTATTTGAAATAGTTTCTAAAACCACAAGAGATATGGATACGTTTATTATCTTCTTTTTTTTTGCATTGCTTATTTTAAAATCAGTGAAGCAGTGATACTGTGAAACAAAAGTAAATGATCATCACAAGTATTCACCTAGCAAAGGCCAAAAAACGGAGGTTGGATTATTACTTGATTTAATTTGGTGTCAGCTTCAGTGCTCTCATATTCAAAATATGTGCAAGTTAATACTCCTCTGTTACATAAATAGCTTTGATTTAGGAATAGGATTTTAAGGTGGGGGATACGATAGCCAAGTTGTTTTATCTCCATTTGGACAGGCAAGCCCTTTGGTTTCCAAAGATATTTCCATTAAAAAAAATGGCACTTTATTTTCTCTGCCAACCCATATATAACAGACTTTAAACAAGGCGACTTGAGGCCAAGCATTACTGAGCATGCAGGGCTGGCCACATCATAGCTTAGTTCTAAAATAGCTACTCATTCCCAAGAAATTAACTCCAGATTTTGTACATCAGTGTTTTGCAAGACACAGCAAAATATGGGGGAGGATTTTTATGCTGATCCAAACTTTGGAAGGGTAAATTAGACCAAAACGCAGAAATGCTCCCTCCTCCCACTTTTCTATAAGGCCCTTTGGCCCAGATCCACAACGTGACAAAGGCATTGTGATGCTCGGAGTCATGACACCTAATTTTTAGGTGCTTAGAAAAATCACAGGAACAACAATGCGACCCACACAGCCTGAACTGGGTACCCAGACTCCCTATTCAATGAATGGGGAGAGAGAGGCACCTTAGAGTGTGATCTGCAAAAAGCCAGCATGCTAGGCAGGGACCCGCCAAGGGGAGATGCTAAGGAGAGGGGTGTATCCCGAACTCCACCGCCTTACGGTGTTAGGCACCTAAGTCTGGTCTGGGCCTGTCTATGCTAGTGATCCACAGCCGGGAACGTTCTCTTGGACATTTAGGCATCTCAGTCATTCCTTGCAAGAATGAGTTAGGTGCCTCGCTCCACACAAAGCAGCGGTGGTGATGCCTACTGGTTAGAGCACTCACCTGGGATGCGGAAGACCCAGGTTCAATTCCCACCTCAGGCAGAAAAGGAGAAAGGATTTGAACAGGGGTTTCCCAGGAGAGTGCTATGGGATAGTCTGATCGGAGGAGAGGATCTCCCTCACTCTCTCCTGTTGAAGCTGTTCCACTGTGGCTAAATAGTGAAAGAGTCACTGGGAGGGAGGGAGAGGCAGACAGACAGAATATGCCCATTGGGGATTTGCTGGCTTAAAAACAGAGGGTCCCCCCGACACGTTGCCAGACTTATGGACAATTGCCTTCAGACTTTTTTCAGACACCAGAGGCCTCAGCATCTGCCTCCATGCGGAAGAACAGGCATTTGCCGTGTACGTCCTTTGAGTCTCTGGGCGTTGTTAACTCAGTGGTTTTATGCTACTGTGGCAGAGCGGCTGTTTGGCCTGTCTTTGGGCTCGGAACACCACACCTGAGAGGCTGATTCCCACAATGGGTGCAGTTATTCAGTTGCTGGTTAGGGCGGAGAAAAAAAAACATAAAGGAAGAATGTGATGGGAGGAATGGGGGACGGCATGGGGTTGGGGGGGGACATTGGCCTGACTTTGTTTTCAGGCACATATTTTGGGCTGAGGAGGTTTGGATGGTCTCTTTTTGCACCTGTGATTCGTTAGGAATGGGACTGTAACTTCTGGGTTTTGTTTTGAATTTTTTATCCCAATAAACACGAACAGACGGGATGATTCTAAAGCCAAGTGGTTCGGGCACCCAGCTGGAAAGCAGTAAACTGGACCCACCGTCCAGTCTCCAGTATTTATATACCGAGCTCCACATCAGACTATCCCACAGCTCAGTGGTTAGAGCATGATCCTGAGAGGTGAGAGACCCCCGTTCAAATCTTTTCTTCCTCTGTGCCTGAGGGGGGAATTGAACCCAGGTAAGGGCTCTAACCACTAGGCTAAAAAAATATCAGATGAGGCACTATCACCGCCATCACCTCCTAGAATTTGAAGGGGACCCAATCCAGTAGGTTAACTCTGAGCAGGCAGCCTTGCTGGACTGGGCCCCATGGGTGAGATAGGTGCTCCTCTGCCCATTGCCTCATGCTTTGTGGATTACGCTGGGACTTGGGCGGGAAATCGGCATCCATCCAGGCGCCTGGAGAGAAGCAGCCACGTGCATGATCAGCGGCAGAAAGTTTGGGGCCCAGGGAAGTTCTACCCTGAAAACTTGGATGTAAGTAAGTTGAGGCGCCTACAGGACTGGGCGGCAGCCGCGCGCGAGTTTTGTGGATCGCAGTGGAGCCTAAAACTGGGACTTAGGCCCAGATCTACAAAGGTACTTAGATGCCTTTCTCCCTGCTCACCTTCGTATGACTGGGCTACTCCAGATTCTGCATTATGGGACTTGTGATTTCTCACTATTTTTTACCAGGACTGACCATGAAAATAGTTACTATCGGGATTAGTGCTCCCGCCCGCCCACCTACTTTGAGCAGTCTAGGGTGACCAGATGTCCCGATTTTATAGGCACAGTCCTGATTTTGGGGTCTTTTTCTTATATAGGCTCTTATTACCCCCAACCTCCTGTCCCGATTTTTCACATTTGCTGTCTGGTCACCCTAGAGCAGTCCCATTGAAGTCAGTGGGAGATACCTTGTTGCTTTAACTTTAAATTTACTTGTCATTAATTCTTACCACGTCTGAGTGTAATACATCTTCTTTATTTACTACAATGCAATACAAACACACACAATAGCATATCTTATACACACAGAGTAGGGAGACATTATCTGTTAGTCTTATATTGTGACCAATACTGAATGAAGTCGCTGAAAAGCGACTCATTTGGGATAGGAACTACACCCAGTAGTTTTTTCAAGATCAAGCCCGTATGCTTTTTAAAGGGTGAAATTCACCCTTATGCAGTGGGCCACCACAAGGTCTATGCATCCCTGAAGTTCCACTTAGGTCATCAAAATCGGGTTCAAACTGGCCTTAGGCCGACTCTCTGACCAAGGGGGAACCTCAGGGAAAAGTGATGAAAATTGGTTAGAGCGGTAGACTGAGCCCACTGCCACACAGATCCAAAGAGCAATATAAAAATGGGAATTTCAAGGTTATTCCCATGACACAGTCCCCTGCGTGGATGCATGAGAAGATGTACAATTTCTGTGCCTGTGCTTGTTCATCAGAAAGAAAAGTAAAACGATATATTATGCCCATTGACTTGAATCATCACTTAGCAAAACATGTTGACTAGAAAGGTCTCAGAAATGCAGAAAAATTTAATAATCTATTTCTTTTATGAAAGTATATGGGTCAAATATAGCCTAAATACATTTTAATTAAAATGCATTTAAAAGACTGTATGTATTAAGACCAGGGATTGGCAACCTTTGGCCAGCAGCCCATCAGGGAAAGCCCCTGGTGGGCCGGGCCAGTTTGTTTACCTCCAGCATCAGCAGGTTCGGCCAATCACAGCTCCTGTTGGCCGCAGTTCGCTGCTCCAGGATAATGGCCACCACTTCCCGCAGCCCCCAGCACATCCCTTGGCCAAAGCCGCTTCCCGCAGCCGCCATTGGCCTGGAACGGTGAATCATGGCCAGTGGGAGCTGCAATCGGCCGAACCTGTGGACGCTGCAGGTAAACAAATGCCAGGGGCTTTCCCTGACGGGCCACGTGACAAAGGTTGCCAATCCATGTATTAGACAGTATTAGGGACAGCAAGTCTTCCAAGGCAATGACAACTATAACTATTAATGGTTACCCAGCGTGTTAACAAATGTGAATTTTTAAGACACAAGTCCTTGAAAACCATCAAGCATACAGCTGCTTGGGAAATGTTTTTTGTTCTTACAAAAAATTCTGATAAAAGCTAAAAAGTTTTGGTTGAAATTTTTCTTCAAAATGGTTGGGTTCTCCTGGAAAAACTAAAATCCCATAAACTATCCCCCTCCCCCCCCTCCAGTTTTTGGCATATGAACACTGAAAAATTGAGACCACAAACTAAAACATTTTGTTGAAATCAGACACTTCCCACAGACATTTCCATTTCCGATGAAAAAAATGGTTAAAGAAAGTTTCAAATGAAACATTTTGACCAGCTCTGTATTCTACTCTGAAGTTGTCCAAGCAAGGAGCCAATTTTAAACATACTAATTACCAACTGCATAGATTTAACGTCCAATGAATGGGACAGGAAAACCTCCCAGAGTTCGCTCAAGTAATTCCATGAAGTACAATTAGCTTTTCGAAAAGTAGAATTCATTTCAAAAACACAATAATGGCAAACAGGAGATTCTATAAGGAACAATTTAGAGGCATTTGCAGATGATACATTACTACATTAATTCCAAGTTAGAGAGACACTATCATTTTGACATCATACACCATCACCACTGACAAGGAACAGAACACAATACCTCCTCCATCACAAGCCAGCATGATTACACTGTGCCACCATCAAAGCTATATAGAATTAGCCTGGGGTGAATTTCAGTTGTAAATTACACTCCTTACAACTGAACTTCAGGGGGAAAAAGACGACTTTTGATTGATATAGACAGTATGAGCCTTTTAACACCATTTTTATCTACAAGGGGGTGAAACATCAGGTATTACAAACCTTTCCAGGTTCACACTCTGTCCCATCAGCCCAAGGTGTGTGTTGAGTACGACATCCTTTGTGAGCTCCATCAATGCTGATGCACCAGAGGCGTCTGCACTGCATCTGCTTCATTTATTGAAATGATCATAGTATTAAGTAATGTCCGGCTTGAGTGTGATGCACACACTGTTTATCACATGACATTTCACAATAGATTTGCCATCACTTACACAATGAATGTGTGCAATATAAAACAGGGCCAGGTGGGGTAGTACTGAATAGCTATGGGGACATGGAGCCTTTCAGCTCTAAGATAGATCAGTCCCGAACTTGGATGAGTGTGGGCAAACTTCTTCACCTGCGTGGAGCCCACCTGCGTGGAGCCCACCTGAAACCAGTAGAGCTGATTTGAAAATTTCTGTCAACAGGCGATTTTGACAAAACATGGGCTGCGTGTGTGCGTATTGGAACCAAAATCATGACCATGATCATGAAAATTCCCTCCCCCCCCCCCGTCTCCTGCTACCAGTTCCAATCAAACTGTACGGGGAGACTTTGGCACACCAGTAAAGTGCTTGAAACCACTATGGTTTATTGTTAAAGGCGGCCTAGTCAGCAAGCTGTAAATTGGCCAATCAGAAATCTCACCTAAGATAGTGGTGATCATAAGCTGTTCCCCTCTTGTAGCATTTTAGTAGTCTATGTGAAATGGAACACAGAAATAGCCACTGGAATTGGCACTAACTGGCACCTGTGTGGGGAGTCTCAGCAAACAGCAGGGGACAATGTTTTTGCCTTTCAAAGGTGCTCAGTAGAACAGGAGCGAGGCATGCTGCAGGGCAGAGTGAGGACTATTGTGTGATGCTTCTGTTTGGTGGACAGAGGGCTTCTCTCTCCAGGGCAGTCATATGTTAAATAGCCTCTCTGTGGCTGGTCCACAGAGGACAGTTGCATTTTATAGCTCCCAGCTAATCATCTGGGGCCTGGATTTTCCAAAGGGACTCGTTATTTTGGGGTGCCTCCATGTTTAGCTGCCCAACTTGACATACCTTGGAAGTGATGAGCACCCACCCTCTGAAAATCAAGCCTCTTTCAAGTGTCCCAAGTGGGACCCCTCCAGACTGAGGCTCTCAAAATCGCTAGTCACTCCTGAAGATCACGGGTGTGATCCTTTAGCGAAAGTGGTAGAGATTTGTGCTTCGGAGACGGAGGCCCTGGAATCAAACCCTGCCGATGGCCTACGGTCGCGGTTGTTATGGCGACGCCTTTTGCCACTGACAAAAATGAACAACCTGGGTACCAAACTATATGGTCATGGGACCAACCCAGCAATGCTTTATTCCTATCGCATGTTGCGAGCAGAACGAAGAGGTGGAAGAGTACTTACCATGTATGGGCAGACTTGAGAGCCTGGTCCAAAAATTAACTCGCATTGTTTATTAACATCATAAATTACTCCTGGGAGTTGCTGAGGCAAAGTGTAAGTCCTTGATACAGGCTCATCTAGTAAACACTCCCCATAACCGGTGCTTCAATAAAACAGAAGAACAACAAGGTTAAATAGGGCTTTGTCAGGCCAGAGCCCATCTCTTTTTAATGTATTTATCAATGCAGTATCTGTGTGCCACATAAAGGTTAACAAATTAGACCCCAAAGACTCCTGCACCGTACTGAAATATGACTGTCACCCATTTTACACCTGGGGCTGCTCAGGGACATACCCTGCTTACATGGTGTGCCCCAGGTCCTGGTTTATAAACAGAACTGTGAAAAAAACACCAGATTGCCTTCCTCCCAGCCTGGGCCTTAACCCACAAGCCCATCCTTTCTCCCTTGTTATTGGGTTGTCATATTTAACATACACTACTTCAGCTACTGAGAAATACAGCACATTGCTTTGGGTACCAAAAGTGAGTGCAAACTGAAAGAGGAAATATTGAATATTCCCACTACACAAACAGTGTAAGAGCCACCTCGAGGGATACAAGCTCTCAGATCTGACTATACACAACATTGGGCCTTCACCTGCTCCCACCAAACCAATGGGAGAAGAGGGCAGGCCTAGGACATGTTCACACAAAACTCTTCATTGTACTTCAGAAGAACTCCGAACTTTCGACCGACATCATGGGCACAGATCCTGGGCCACGTTAGGGCAACTTTGTGTCATTGCAAGAGGTTGACGCGGCCTCCGAGCTACTTAAGTAAGCTATCAGAGGGCTCCTTCTGCATAGGGGGATCCTAAAGAGGTGCAGTGCCACTGTAGCGGCTGCTATACTAACCCCTTCCCAGCTGCCCACATAGGGAGTATGGCCAGAGGAAAGGATGCGTGGCCAAGCCCCCCTTTCCCCTTTCATCCTGGTCATTCTCAGATGCCAGAATGGGCAGTCAGTGTAAACTAGAGCAACCTCAGGGCCTCTCTAATTTATTCCAGGGTCCAGGTTGGCTCCAGGTCAGCTCCAAGGCCCGCAGAGGTAGATTTCATGGATTTTAGCAACTGCCTTGCTAGCTGTACCAAGTGCTCCTAACATACAACTCGGTATCTGGGTCACAAGGCTTGGGAAACTGCTGCTCAGGTTTAGCAGAGATGACGAGTTCCTGAAAAGTGATTTCCAGGGGAGCCAAGACTTAGGGCTTGTCTACACTTACCGGAGGGTCCGGCGGCAGGCAATCGGTTTTCTGGGATCGACTTATCGCGTCTAGTGAAGACGCGATAAAATCGATCCCTGATCGCTCTGCCGTCAACTCCGGAAATCCACTGCGGCAAGAGGCGGCAGCGGAGTCGACGGCAGCGCGGCAGCGGTCGACTTTCCCCCGTCCTCACAGCCAGGTAAGTCGACCTAAAATACGCAACTTCAGCTACGGTATTCACGTAGCTGAAGTTGCGTATCTTAGGTCGGACCCCGCTGTAGTGTAGACCTAGCCTTAGCCTTCCCCATAGAGAAACAATTCCTTGCCAGCTAATCCTGAGACCGAACTGGCAGGGACTGAAACTCAAAAGGTGCATTTCTACACTATGTAAACGGGACACACACGCACGCACCCCACTTCAGCTCCTTTCCAAATGATGCACACTTTGCTTTCAGTGTAACAAATCAGCTCTTTGAGGGACGCTGTATATATAACAACACCGCCACATATATAGTGTCTTACTCTAGAAACTCAGTAATGTATTTCCTACTACATTTTGACCACATCCAGGGGTTGGTGTAGAAGTTCAGTGTTGGCGCCATGACATGTTGTTGATTTTTCCCTCCATCTTCTTTGCACTTATTATTGTCATCATGCGGCATGTTAAATCTACAAAAAGTAAAACAAGTCTAATGAAGTGCACGTTAAAGACCACGTATACCGTACTCCAGCAGAAACAGGGTGTATAAAACATTTTGTCTCATTTTGAAACTGCTGGTCAATATTACAGATACAAATAAAATTAGCCAAAATATTTGGAATAACCAATACACAGTAGCTGCTTTGGAACATTATTGGATTCTTGGGGTTTGTAGCCATTTGCAGCCAGAGTACACAAAACCTTTCAACATCAGAACTCTAAGTGGCATTGTGTGTACTCGAGGTATTCTCAAGCCAGACACTTTGAGTAAAATTCAGATGCAGTTTTCTTTCTTGCTACCTGTAGCCATGATCCTGCAGGCATTCTGGACCTCACAGGATTGGGCCAATGTTATGCCAGTGACAAGTTTTCCCCAGCCAATCCAAACAGTCAAAGACTTTGGCTGGGAATTTGAAAGTCGATAGGAATTTGGCACCTGACTCTTTGTAAATCCCAGCCTTCCGCAAACTGTGGTGAAGTTATGAAATATGGGCATCATTTTGGACTTACACTGAGGCACTGTCTGTACTGGGAATGGCTATTGTTGGCCAGCCACCAGCACGGCTGCACCAGTGAAAACCCCTAGTGCAGAGAGGCACAGCTAACACAAATCACAATTTGCACCAGAGCAGAATACCCCAGTTACCGGTAGAGTAAATGGCACTGATGCTGTGTTTTACAGCTTGTCTATTCTAGGGGTCTGCAAGCCATAGATGGCTGAAGTCATAGAATCATAGGGTTGGAAAGGACCTCAGGAAGTCATCTAGTCCAACCCCCTGCTCAAAGCAGGACCAATCCCCAGACAGATTTTTGCCCCAGATCCCTAAGTGGCCCCCTCAAGGATTGAACTCACAACCCTGGGTTTAGCAAGCTAATGCTCAAACCACTGAGCTATCCTTCCCCTAAAAATGTTTTTGTAAAAAGTCCCTAGTATAGTTAAGCCCTGAGAGTTCAATACCCTAGTAGCAGAAAGTTTCTAATGAAACTGAACTGTAGTTTTAGACATCTAGGGTCAAGTTTGTCCCTGACATAGTTGCCTAAATGGAGTCACTCCAGGGATGAACTTATATTTTATCTGGTAGGTTTACAGAATGCCATCAAGCATCAATATCAACATAAACCCATGTGAGATTTGCAGCACACGCTCAATTGAAGAATGCTGCAAAAATGTCACCAAGACAGAACATCTTAAGCTGCTTTGCTAGTTGAAGTGGAAGAGGGGAAATGACTTGATGTGATCCGAAATTTGAAGGCTGATGAGTTTCTATTTCCATTCAGATTTTGTCCAGTGAGCCAAGTCTTCCCTCAGCCTCCCACATGAGGCACTCCGGTTCAGGACCACCTCCTTTGGATGAAGTTTGTGAAGTAAGCTGCTGCAAGTTAGGGGTGGGGAAGGCCAAACCTGGGGGATTTCCGTCAGGATATCAAATTAAAAAAATACAATTGCACTTAAATATACACTGCCCAAATGAAAAACGTTTTAAGCAGCGAATGAGCTGTTCATTAGAACTCACCAATCCCACCTCTGACGTCTCTAATCTAAAACCCAGTATATTATTTTAATTGGTGATGTAGCCATCAGATAGATGACACATCCTGAACTTGCAAGACAAAGGACTACGTGATCTAAGCTCATCTTTTTCGTCCCTACCTTCAACGATCAATTGGGGGCTCAACTGGATGTGGGGGCATTGGGAATCCTCCCTTCATCCACATGAGCACTGCCTTGGTGGAAGCTGTCTCAGTCGAATGCCAATCACACTAAGCTAAGTTCATCCTCCGGCGTAACTACTGCATTGACTTCAGTAAAGTTACCCGCCAGGGTAGGGTCTGTTCTGAGAAACGCGCAGTGGCAGGGGCCCTGAGGCTAGGTGGCAGAAGGGGAGAGGTTTGCCCATGTTTACTCTTAGCTCTTCCATCATCGCAGCCTCGTGACGAGTGTGAGTGCGTGCAAGGTGAGCGGCGCATGCAGTACGCCATAAAACGTGTCAGCTCCAAAGGCCGTCAAGACCTTGGATCTGCTTGGAGACACCCTACGGACTCCCACCCTCTGCGTTTAGGGGCGAGTTAGGCCTGAGAGGAAACAACAGTGCAGGAGGGGATACGTGTTCGTTTGATTTGGGCAGGGGGATGGGAAGGGCAGCATCCTTTTCTCCCCTACTCAATTGCTGCCCACAGCTGGGGACTCTCTCCACAGGCGCCAACTTTCCTCGGCACCGGTGGGTGCTCGCGCCTTCCCCCGCCCCAATTCCGGGCCCTCCCTGCCCCTATTGGACCCCTCCCCAATCCCCCGTCCCAGCCCCGCCTCTTCCCCGAGTGCGCCGCGTTCCTCCTCCTCCCCCCTCCCTCCCAGCGCTTGCCACGCGAAACAACTGTTTCGCGGCGCAAGCGTTGAGAGGGAGGGGGAGAAGCAGGACGCGGCAGCACGCTCAGGAGAGGTGGCAGATGCAGAGGTGAGCTGGGCAGAGGGGCGGGGAGGGGAGCTGCCGGTGGGTGCAGAGCACCCACCAATTTTTCCCCATGGGTGCTCCAGCCCCAGAACACCCACGGAATTGGCACCTATGACTTTCTCTGACACACCCTCCCACCCATTCTTTGCTCCTCCTGGGCTGGGCCTTCTCTTTGCCACTCCATGATGCTATGGAGCATCTTCAGCCGCCTTCCAGATGCTGCCTGCTGTTTCGCCTCCTTGTCCTTGCACCTCCTACCCAAGTACGCTCATTTCTTAGGCTCAGCTGTGCATCAGTTCCACTTAGCATATATCTTTGGCTATTTAAATGTAAACTTATTTACATAAAAACATACACGTGGCCAAGTTCATGCGCGATCGTAAAAGCAGTACTTAGTCCGTTATCTTCGCTAATTGAACAGCTTCTGTACGGATCACAAACAGTGCCCAATTCAGCCAGACCTAGAAAGGCAAGGGCAGAACAAAAAGGTTTACGATAAAAAAAGAAATATTGCTCAGAGTTAAGCACATATTAACATTGTCACCTCAAAGGAGTAAAACAAAAATAGATTAAGCTTACCTAATGTATCACATTTGTCGTGAGCTCTACAAATATCCTGTCTGAAAGCAGAACAGACTTGACGCTTTTAATTTTCATGTACACGCAAGTTACAGTACAAATGCAAAAATAAAAAAAAAAAAATTCAAAAGCAATTCTTGGTTCTCCAGCTGACATTCTCAAGCTGGTTTTGTCACACAAGCTGTCAGTGAACAAAGAGGTCTGATTCAACTGCCTATTTAAGTCAATTAGAGTTTTACCAATTTCCTTCAATGGCATTAGGAGCAGGTCCTGGATACTACAATCAATCAAAGATGCATTTAACAGAGGGATAAATATTTACCATACTTCTTTTCATTGCTACACTACTTCCACAGTTGCAATCCAAACACTTGTGGTCATTACTGGGCTACCCCAAATGAATTATTTCTGATGATCACATGCATTATAAATCAATCGCTTCCAACTGTGATACTCAAATGGCTACATTATTAATGAGAAAACTTAATATACCTGGTAACAAGTACAGCAGTATCATGTTTGGGTAGATTGTTTTCTTCAGGGTGGTTCTGGGAATGCTGCCATTGGCAAAAGTTTTTTAATGTTGTCTGGGCATTATAAGATATTGAAGGACCATCCTAGCCATAAAAAAATATATATACAAAAATGTGTATTTTAGTTATTTATCTCAGTGCCCACTCCCTGTGGCAAACACAAAGAAGAAAAAAGACTTTCATTACCTGTTCATTATGTATCACGACTAATTTCACAATAACAATATTAATTAAATTTCCAATACTTGGGTCTTTATAGATAGAGGCTACCTGCATTAGAGAGAAATGTTCAGAGTTATTGCCAGCTTCAAACAAAGAATTAAAACAACACAAATTTGTCTTCTGTTCTCTGAATGAGCGGAGCGTGGAAGCTCTTCGCTGTCTCACTGGGTTTTGTAGTAGAATTTTAGCTAATAATCTGGTCACGAACATTATCTCGGTGCAAAACCTTAAGAGATTTAGCATCACACCTTGAGCGTTGTTTTAAAATGAAAAGGAAAACCGTGTGTGCCAGAATCCCAAAATCTTTCAGTTCTGTGCACATATATTATCACCCACATTCTATCCTCAGATAGTGCAACTATCAATAGCTAAGATTTTCAAAAGCGACTAGTGATTTCAAATGCTTCAATTTCTGGGGTGCCCAACTCAAGATAGCTTAAACGTTGAGTGCCTGCCCTCTGAAAATCCAGCACTTCCAAATAAGTCTCAAATTGGACACGCAAAATCACTAGTCACACTTGATGATCTTGGCCATTCCCTTCCAGTAGATAATACTTTATGAAGTTTGTACATTTTGGGTGGAGACCGGGAGGGTGTGCAGAGATTTTCACCAGATAACCGTTGTACATATTTTGCTAAGCCTTACACTTAAGTGCGTGTTTATCTGTTTTATACTCTACTTTTCCATGGATATCATTGGGGGAGCGGGGTTATGGGAGGTAATCTGAGAGTGGAATTTGACCCACAGAAATCAAAGATAGAAAAATCCAAACAGATCATCTAGTCGCTACTGAGGGCTGGTCCAGGAATGTTTCCCATCGGATATTTACTAGTGTTTTCAAATAAATGGGAGATCTGCATCCAAAATAACTGCAGCTTTTGGCATAGTCATCTAGAGGATCATATCACCCTTCTCAAGGGACCTTTCTAACAACATTCTATTTTCTATACTTCTGTCTGTGAGTCTTTCAGGGAACTTACCTTTTTTTTTTTTTTTTTTGGACAGCTCATCTCTGGAAAGCACAGCATAAATTATCCAAGTGAATATCAAAATGCATTTCCAGGCTGTTCAATGTCCCATGCACCAAAGAAGAGAGTCACTGAACATTAGTCAGCAACAGGAAAGCTGTTGCTATGCTGAAAAAAAGCCTTTGTTCTGAGAAACAAGGGCACTAACTAAACACTGACCCTAAACATGCTCTTATTATTAATCTCCTCTCATGACAGATAGTGGTAGTGTCTTTTGAGCCCCAGGATCTGGACTCTAAGTTCAGAGATCGCATCTGATTTAGGGAACGTGGAGTTCTGTAATCCAGAATCTGCCACCCATAGCATCAGCTCACATGGCTGTCTGCTTCAGTGCTGAGGGTAGAGATCGGCGCTCGGCAGGCACAGAACGCTCAGAGCTGATCAGTGAGCTCAGCACAAAGATCCAGTGGCATTTGGAACCATTAAGCCTGTGTAACCCACCTTCTGAGTGTGGTGCTCTGTCCCATCTAGTGGCACCAAGACCACTTAGAGAGAGAGAGAGATTAATGAGTTTGCTCTACAGCCTTAGCTAACAGCCAGTTGGCTTTTAGCTCATGTGATAGAGGCTCATGCACTAAACTCCAGAGGTCCCAGGTTCGATCCCGCCCGCTGACCACCGGGGTCTGTCAGCCTTACATCTGCTCTTGAATGGGGTGAGAAAGCTAAGGAAGATGCCAGCAAAACCACCCTACCACTGCACACAAGCAAGAGTTGCCACTGGGACTCCTACTACCATCATGGAAAGTCAACTGATACTACTACTCTTCATGAGCTTTAAGCAGCAAAGAAAATTGGGTAACAACTCAACCTCTAAATCCCAGCATGTAGGAAGGGGGAGGGGATCCACCCTCATGATTGTGTACGCTCGGAAGCCACATGCGGCAAGATTCCCATTCAGCTTGTACATCACCCGGGCCTGAGTGGGAAGGAGACTAGATCCCAAGGACAGCAGCACTAGCCTGTGGCAACCCTACTGCTGGAGACCTGGGGAACTGAAGGAACGAACCACAGGAATAGTTAATTTGTGTGGTGGAGCCAGGGATGGAAGAACCCATCCAACAGGACTGGAAGAGTCTCTTGTGGGTTCCGACATTTTCTATATTGAGGGAGGACATGGCTGAAGTTTTGTTGAGCTGAGCCACATTCCATCTTTACCTAATCCTGACTTTAGTACAGTACTTGATGTACACAAGCTATGAGTATCGCACCCTCTTGGGATGGGGCGAGTAAAATCCAAGGGGGGAAATTCTTCCTCTATTTTGATACTTACTATTGACATTAATGTTAAGATATAGTGTTGCAGATTAGCTCCATGGTAGGCAACCATTCTGCTGTCTGCCACCACCATGACTTCCACAAACCGAGGGTAGGAGAGGAATCGCTTTGTCCTTCGGTGCGTCTTGTCATCAGTCTTGTTGTTATATGTAGAAAATTGATTTCCGGCTATGCTATGTTTTAATACCTCCACGTCCGAGAACAGACTACTTTCTTGCCATTGTCTTCTCCGGTTTTTCCTCTTGCTCTTCTTGTGACTATTTTCATGCCCTATGGTTTAAAAAAAGATGGATTCCTGATTGAATGCATTCAAAACCACATGTTTTTCATGTTAGGAACACACTTCAGTTCATACAACAGCTAGTAGCCTGTCTCCTACACTCATTTAGATTTGTTCTAAGTAGCCATGCAAAACAAGGATTGCATGGAAAGCCACAGTTTAGCAAAGCACTTAAACATGTTCTTAACTTTAAAGACATGAGTAGTCCCATTGAAGTCAATGATGCTTAAAGCTAGACGTGTTTAAATGCATTGCTGGACCAGGACCAGAGTAATCCTGTATGTAGGAAGAATTCATACTAAAAAAATCAGCCAAATTTGTTCTATTTGTATCCAGGAATTTTAACTATTCTGTCTGCGTATAGATTCCACGTGTGTCCAATGTGGCTATTAACCCACATAAGAGAATAAGGGCTAAATCCTGCCTCTCTTACTCAGGCAGAACTGAAGGATGGAATAAGGACTGCCAGATTTGGGAACCAAAGACTGAAGCAATTACATATGATTCATTTCTGCCTGTAACAATAGCATGGCTGTGCTTCAAATATTTTTTCCCTCTTATTATTCTGTGCCACCGAAACAGTAAAGGTCATCTAATAACACAGCTGCCACTGACTAAAGAATAGAACACAGGAAGTTTCACATATACTGCTTTTGATATTCAATTAGGCAAAACATAAAAAGGGACCTGGAAAGTATGCTAAAAGCTGATATGAAGATGACAGAGTGAGGAGGGTACATGGGCAAAGAAACATATGGAACATGTACAATTAAGATTTACCATCGGATTAGTACGTAATTACAGCATTATTTAAGTGTAAGAGCAAACTCACTGGTATTTGATGCCACTTAAGTTTTAATCAGCTCATCAGAGGAAGTAGCTAATTGAATGTGATTCATCCAAGAGAAACAGTTCAGTACTGCTAAGTAACATAAAGCCAAATCAGCACTGTTCATCTAACGGCCTACAGACCTCGTAGTCTTTGTAGCTTTCCTTTAATTTCATCATGCTGGTGAAAAATATCCAATTTCCTTATCTGACCCACTGAGAAGGGTACAGGAAGCAGAATATTAGGGAACAAAGGAACGCTCAGAGTGCAAACAAGATTTCAACGATAGGGAACTTCTTGGCTATTTGACATGTGCCGTTTCCTTTTCGGATGTTTTAGTAATAATTTCCAAAGCACTGATTTTAAAATGTTAATAAATAGCAGCAGCCAGCTAAGTGTATGGCCCAATGACTGTTCAACTGAGAACGGATCATTTGCCTCCTCCATGTCAATACACGACATTCTAAAATTAAATGCTACCGTACCGCAACCAATACATCACTCATATGAAGGCCAGCCATGTTTCCTTATGTTTGGTGTGGACTACCTTATGACAGCTAACAATCCACACATAACAGCTATTTGAGTAGGAAGCCTGGAAAAACCCATGGCATTCATATGTAGCTGGGTTGCTCTAGTTATCCTGCACTAAGCAGTGCTGTTAAACGGGGCATGATTATGATCTCGTGGTAAAATAACTTCAGAGGCAGCATTGGCATACACCAGTGTAAATCAGTGTGGCAGTGGGGGGAGATGGATCAGCGTTCATGTTGCACTGCCCGTCAGTACTCAGCCCGGGCCAGGGAAGCTAATGATCCAACTAGAAGACCAAATTCGGTGATGAATCCGGGTCACATGCCACCTGCATCTGCTAAGAAGTAGTGCAGAAGCAGGCCAACTATACCTATATGTAATCCCCTTTTCTTTTCTAGTTTTGGGCCAAAAACCTTATAGCTGTAATTATAGCAGCTGTTTCTACTTGCTGTGAGTGGATATGGAAACATTCCCAGCCTAGGGGGCAGTATACAGGCTTGACTGACTGCAAACAAATAGTTGCTATTTGAGCATCCTAGAGCAGTGGTTTTCAAACTTTTTTACTGGTGACACTTTTCACATAGCAAGCCTCTGAGTGCGACCCCCCTTATACATTTTTTATATATTTAACACCATTATAAATGCTGGAGGCAAAGCGGGGTTTAGGGTGAAGGCTGACAGCTCACGACCCCCCATGTAATAGCCTCGTGACCCCTTGAGAGGTCCCGACTCCCAGTTTGAGAACCAATGTTCTAGAGGGAGTGCAGGAAGTTATTAACCATGCTCTCCAGCGGTTCTGAAGCCAGTGTGGAAGTTTGCATTAAGGACAGACATTCCTGCATGTACACACATACCCCTTAGCTAGGAGTTGGAAGCTCTTGACTAATCAACAGTGAATTCTCTTGCCAGGAGTACAAAACTGGCAGCCAAGTTGAGCACTGGTTGGAGCAAGGGTGGGTAAACTACGGCCCATGGGCCAGATCCGGCCCACCAGCCGTTTTAATCCGGCCCTCGAGCTCTCGCTGCGGAGTGGGTCTGGGGCTTGCCCTGCTCCAGTGCTCCAGCTGGGGAGCAGGGTCGGGGGCCATTTCACATGGCTCCCGGAAGCAATGGCATGGCCCCCCTCTGGCTCCTACATGTAGAGGCAGTCAGGGTGCTTTGCTTTGCACGCTGTCCCCACCCCAAGTGCCGCCCTTCCATCTCTCATTGTCCGGAAACCACGGCCAATGGGAGCTGCAGGGGTGATGCCTGTGGACTGAGCAGCATGTAGACCCGCCTGGCCGCACCTCCGCGTAGGGGCCGAGAAGGGACATGCCGCTGCTTCTGGGAGCCGCTTGAGGTAAGCACCGCTCGCACCCTTAATCCCTGAGCCTCCCCTGCGCCCCAACCCCATGCCCCAGCCCTCCTACCCTCCAAACCCCTCAGTCCCAGCCTGGAGCACCCTCCTGCACCCCAAACTCATCATCCCCAGCCCAACCCCAGAGCCCGTACCCCCAGTTGGAGCCCTCAGCCCCCTCCCGCAACCTGAACTCCTCATTTCCGGCCCCAACCCGGAGCCCAGGCCCTCAACCAGAGTCCTTACCACCTCCCGCACCCCAACCCTAATTTTGTGAGCATTCATGGCCCACCATACAATTTCTATTCCCAGATGTGGCCCTTGGGCCAAAAAGTTTGCCCACCCCTGAGTTGGATCCAGCCAAGCCCAGCCCTGCAGGGAGAAGACAGCACTGCCAGGTGTAACGCAGATTGAATGTGGGGTTGGTTCACAATATGGTTTCCTGTAATTTTACAGGTTAGCTGGACCTTATTGGTCTGCAGCATTTCTATGGTAAAGTTCTGCAAGGTCCTTAGATCCAAAAAGGAAAAGAAGCGACTGGGGGATGGATCACTTGATGATTCCCTGTTCTGTTCATTCCCTCTGGGGCACCTGGCACTGGCCACTGTCGGACGACAGGATACTGGGCTAGATGGACCCTTAGTCTGACCCAGTAGGGCCATTCTTATGTTCTTAAGTAATTGTTTTTAATATAGCAATGGGTTACAGTTAAGGGGATAGGGAAGTTTGGTACTTCCTGCCTTACTCTTGTTATTCGAGGATGCGAGCTTAGAATTAAGTAAGTAGGGCAGTTGTATTTGTGTGACTATAGAGAGGGTGGGGGAGGGTTGGCAGAGTTCATTTTTATAATTTGGATGGAAAATAACAATACTTATGTTAAAGCTTTTTTATTTGTATCAATTTAAATGTTCACAGTTGCACAAAATGATGAGTTGTAAGTATTTGTTTTATTTTTATCTATTTTAAACGTTCACAGTTGCGGGAGCTTATGGGGCAAGGGGTCAGACAATTCTTTAAAGATAGAGGTGGTTGAGATTCACAAAGTTAGAGCTTTGTATCAGTTCAAACACAAATTGTCAAAATACACACCGTAAATAGCCTTAAAATCAATCTCTCATACTTTCTGAAGCAGCATTTTTATTGCTTTACCTATCTGTCAATTTCGATTCTCAGTGGAAACATTTTGTCATCGGGGTGTGTGTGTGTGTTTGGTGAAATCGTTGTTTATTGACATTTACGGATATACATCTAATCCTTCCATGTCTCTCTCGATAGGCGCCCCAGAAAAGCACCAGTCAGTCATATTTATACACTGGGTATTCCAATCTCGTAACTGAGGGCTTGTCTTCACGGACAGTGCTGCAGCTGCACAACTATAATGCTTTAGTGAAGATGTTACTACGCCAACAGGAGAGTGTCTCCCGTCGGCATAGCTAATCCACCTACGCAAGAGGGGTTAGCGATGTTGATGGGAGAAGTCCTCCCATCCACATAGTGCTGCCTGCATCGGGGGTTAGGTCAGTGAAACTACCCTAGAGCAACGTAATTATACTGATACACGTTTATAGTGTAGACCTGGCCTAACAAACTAAACACACTCAGGGGGAGGGATAGCTCAGTGGTTTGAGCATTGGCCTGCTAAACCCAGGGTTGTGTGTTCAATCCTTGAAGGGGCCATTTGGGGCAAAAATTTGTCTGGAGATTGGTCCTGCTTTGAGCAGGGGGTTGGACTAGATGACCTCCTGAGGTCCCTTCCAACCCTGAGATTCTATGACAGCAACTGATTTAAAACCATTCATGTACTTTGACAATAATGAGCTGTTATCTTAACCAGCCAGAAATGGGTCACTTTAATTTGTAAAAAAAAAGAAACGAAACACTAACCGCAATATACTGCTCTCAAGCCATGCATAAAACTCCCAACAGCAATTGTGCATATGGTCTAAAGCTGTTGATATCTAACTTGTCACCATTAAGATGGCCACCAAAGGATAGAAATGATCCATACCGCTTGAATAGATCTACATTCTGCAGTCTAATTAAGCAGAAGTGAAAAACTCAGAATACCATAAATTAACAGTGTGGGTCCAATAAAGGATATTACCTTACCCATCTTGTCTCTCTAATACCCTGGAGCCAACACTGCAAAATTTAACTTAACAATGGCAAGCTTAGTCTGATAACATGGAAAGCAATGAAAACCGCTTATATTTTGAGCTATAATAAGAGTGTGATGTTTTGCATTCGTCTACCACGTTGATATATCAACTGATAACAGGAAGCAAAATATT